TGTACAGCACAGGAAAGTTTCTAGCAAGAGTAAAAAGTCTGCATCTCTGATGGCAGCAGTGCACTGTTGTCTCCAATTCTCATCATATATAAAAACTGAGCAGGGTCCTGCATAATAATCCAGTACAATTCTTAAGAAATGAGAGGGGAAGGCAGTAGCTGATAGCAGTGTAAGCCTGGTTCAGGGAGGAAGCTGGAATACACAGAGAAAAGCCTGTGCTTGGGAATTAAAGTTCATCTAGTACACTGTACTTCTCTCTCTGTCCCATGGCAAGTGTTCTTCGTACTGAGTGCTCTACTTGAATTTGTCTTGATGTTAAGTGAACCATACTCTGATAGCAGTAATAGCTATTGGGAGATGTTCGTTAATTAGTTACAGATGCTGGCTAGTTAAAGGAAGACCTTTGTTTCATGCCTCAGAGAGTATCTGGCGTGTTTATCATAGAATCATAGAATCGTTAGGGTTGGAAAGGACCTTAAGATCATCTAGTTCCAACCCCCCTGCTGTGGGCAGGGACACCTTACGCTAAATCATATCACCCAAGGCCTCATCCAACCTGGCCTTGAACACTGCCAGGGATGGAGCATTCACAACCTCCCTGGGCAACCCATTCCAGTGCCTCACCACCCTAACAGGAAAGAATTTCCATCTTATATCCAACCTAAACTTCCCCTGTTTAAGTTTTAACCCATTACCCCTTGTCCTGTCACTACAGTCTCTAATGAAGAGTCCCTCTCCAGCATCCCTATAGGCCCCCTTTGGATACTGGAAGGCTGCTATGAGGTCTCCACGCAGCCTTCTCTTCTCCAGGCTGAACAGCCCCAACTTCCTCCGCCTGTCTTCATACGGGAGGTGCTCCAGTCCCCTGATCATCCTCGTGGCCCTTCTCTGGACTTGTTCCAACAGTTCCATGTCCTTTTTATGTTGAGGACACCAGAACCGCACACAGTACTCCAGGTGAGGTCTCACAAGAGCAGAGTAGAGGGGCAGGATCACCTCCCTCGACCTGCTGGTCATGCTCCTTTTGATGCAGCCCAGGATACGGTTGGCTTTCTGGGCTGTGAGCACACACTGAAGCTGGCTCATGTTCATTTTCTCATCAACCAACACCCCCAAGTCCTTCTCCGCAGGGCTGCTCTGAATCTCTTCTCTGCTCAACCTGTAGCTGTGCCTGGGATTGCTCCCACCCAGGTGTAGGACCTTGCACTTGGCATGGTTAAACCTCATGAGGTTGGCATCAGCCCACCTCACAAGCATGTCAAGGTCCCTCTGGATGGCATTCCTTCCCTCCAGCATATCAACCAAACCACACAGCTTGGTGTCATCGGCAAACTTGCTGAGGGCGCACTCAATCCCACTGTCCATGTCACTGACAAAGATGGTAAACAAGACTGGTCCCAACACCGATCCCTGAGGGATGCCACTCGTTACTGGTCTCCAGCCGGACATTGAGCCATTGACCACAACTCTGTGTGCAGCCATCCAGCCAGTTCTCTATCCACCCAGTGGTCCATCCATCAAATTGATGTCGCTCCAATTTAGAGACAAAGATGTTGTGTGGGACAGTGTCAAATGCTTTGCACAAGTCCAGGTAGATGACATTAACTGCTCTACCCCTGTCCATCAGTTCTGTAGCCCCATCATAGAAGGCCACCAAATTGGTCAGGCAGGATTTGCCTTTAGTGAAGCCATGCTGGCTGTCACCAAGCACCTTGTTGCTTTTCATGTGCCTTAGCATGCCTTCCAGGAGAATCTGCTCCAAGATTTTGCCAGGCACAGAGGTGAGACTGACTGGTCTGTAATTCCCTGGGTCATCCATTTTCCCCTTCTTGAAAATGGGGGTTATATTTCCCTTTTTCCAGTGATTGGGAACTTCACCTGACTTCATGATTTTTCAAATATGATGGCCAGCGGCTTCGCAACTTCGTTTTGATTCACAAGCCTTGCTTGAGTACTGCCCATCAGAAGCAGAGTGTTTGGGAAGTTTCTAGTAAGACCTCTGCTGACCAAGGAAAGGTTGGCAGATAGGAAGGGAATGGGCTCCTGAGCATCTCAACTGGCTGGAAATTTCCAAGTGACATAGCGGAAGGACTTACATTGATGTGAAAACCTTGGCTGTATTACATGGATGTAAATCCATCAGGTTAGTTTGCTTGTCTGTATGATTTTTTGAGGTTTGACCCTAAAGATCCTGGTATTGGTGAAGTTATTGAAATGCTGAAGGATGTTGACTAAATATTTGAGAGGTTATTGTGACCCCTAATAATGTGAGAAATAGTTAAGTGTAAATGAACTGGTACCTGAGCACTTGTAAACTGGTACCTGAGCACTTGTATTAGATTAAGACACATTAAGAAATAGACACAAGTTTGTAAATAAGGCTGCTGTAGTGACTGAAGCACATTTCAGGTGTCACATCTTGGAATTTCTTCAAGAAAGGAACCTTCTGCAGCTATCATTTTGCTCTGCCACACAGAGAAATCATTAGTGAAAAGTTTTTGCTTTCTAAAAGTACTTAAAAACCTGTAAATGATAAAATAATAACCTTATCTTTCTGCCCCAGCTTCAATGAACCTGTAGTTTTTTGGGTGAGTCTTGAGTGTGGCTGGTCAGAGCACAGCCTAATGACAGCAAAGCACAGGTAAGCCTTGCTGCATCTCTGTCCAAAGGCAAACACCTCTTGACAGGATTTCTTGCTCAGCAAGTTATGGACATAACCCATACCAGCAATCCCTAGTCAAAACTTTATGCCACCAACAACTAACTCGCTAGAAAGTGTGGTGAGCAAGCAGCAGCATCCCAGTAGCTGCACTGGGCTTCCAGACCAGTGTCAGCATGTTCCCATGGGAATTCAGAGAACAGCAATCACAATGGATTATGGATTTTACAGATGTCATGTAGATATTAACATTATTTCAGAAACAATAATAATCTCTTAAAGTATATTCTACCAGGAACAAAATTATTAATAAGTAAGTAAAATACAGGCTTTTATGATTACTTTTTGCTAAGAACAAGTATTTCTTTACAGCCTTGCATAAAGAGCAATAATCACTTTGCAGGTGCCTTTTGCATGTCCTGTTTTGGTGATTATTTGGCTGATGCAAACAAGGAGACATGCACTTAACCTGCTTTGAGGGAAACAACATCTCATACCAGCAGTGATTTCTTCATTCACAGCACGCTCACAGCAGCAGGAAGAGCCCAGAGCACAGCAAAGAAGAGGCATGGGAACACAGACCCTCTAGACAGGTAGCCAGCGTCTGTGGAGCTGAGTACCCTGCTTGCTTTTTTCAGCTGCTTACAAGGGTCAGCCCACACTGCATAACATATGTGCAGTGAAAGGTGGTAAAAGTGCCACAGAAGTGGCACATGAACCTACTGCTGTTTAAACAATCATTGGCAGAGAGTGACCCCTCCCTTGGACTTTCTGAATTCTTGTTGTGGTTTGGTAGTGTTTTACATGGTTGAATTAGGAGTCAGAGATGCAGTACCCTGCTGAAGTCACCAATGTGTAACAGACACCTGCAGATGCAACTAGCAGAGGACAGAACACGAAGCCTCGCCTTATGCAAGTTTTCCAACAAGAAACTGCCACAGTCCTTCCAAGAGTACATTTTCTGGCAAGAACAGCAGATTTGACAGCGTAAGTGAACACTGTGCTTCAGCTGAGCATGCACTCCTACAAATGCAGGGTTACATAGATGTGGTATTAAGATTTCTACCAACTGACATGTAAGCGGTGAGGAGAAGCAAGACACGCCAACCCAATATGGGTGATAAGCAAACTTCTACTTTATTTGTGGCGCACTTCGCTTATATCCACGTGGTGTTTAGCCACGCCTACTAGTCAGAACAGTATTGGTTAGTTCTACACAGCTTCCTTCACATTCTCCTCCCACATCCGGTATCCAGTTACCTGTGAGGCCTACACTTTGCCTTGCTCACACAAGGCCTCTAAGGCTCCATGGCCTTGCTCTTAGAGCCATTCTGCAACACTGACACATTAATTCACTCATTCCTTTTTACAGGAAGCTCCAGACTAAACTTATTTTCACCTATTATTAAGGGAAATTAAGAGTGGAATACAGCTTTTAAACTATAGACTGTTGGGTTTATGCCTTTTCAAAATCTATTTAATGACTGTGATGTCTATTCAAGACATCATGTCATGAAATTTAGTCTTGTCAGCACTAATACATTTTATTATGCAAGTCACCAAGCCAGTCTTTGTTAGTTGCCATGTGCTGCAGACACGGGAGGTTTCTGATGGGCATTCAGATGTTATAATCAAAATTAATTGCACCATTACCAGCCACTTACCCTGCCAGCACAAGCACATGTGTGGGTTAGACAGCTGAAAAAACGGTCAATAATTTCCATGCACAACTAGGGATGCTCCCAGAATCCCAAGGCTTTACAGCCTTTGTCTTATGAGCAATATGCAGGCAATGCTCCCCTTCCCATCCAGGTTGTGGCAGGAATCTCTGTTAAGTAGGTCAGCCAGCTGCAGGGCATCTCAAATGATGTGCAGGAAACATCTTTAATATCACCTCCCGATCAGAGAGCTAGCCAGAAGAAGTCCACCACACTGAGGCAGTGGGTCTGTGAGACATTACCACTCTGAGCCTGATCAAAACCACTACAGTCAAGTACAGCCACACTCTGGCTATAAACTAAAAGTGTTGATGGGACAACACAGTCCTTTGAGACTTTATACTGGCTCAAATATGAAACCACTTCTAGCTGATCAGATACTACACATCCTCTCAAATTGGCAAAGCCTCAGCATGAAGCAGGATGCCAGCCATGGGCAGCACTACATGCTTGACCCCATTTCACAAAAAATGCATGTGTGCCTACATTTGAATAGGATTACTTTGCACTGTCAAGTGACTAGTAACACAAAGAGTCCAGTCACCTAAAACACAAGCATTACTTGTTTAGTCAATACATTATATGCTTTTGGCAAAGACCTCAGGATAACATAAACAAGTAAATCAAGTCAGACACAGCAGCACAAAAATGCAGAGTTTATTTTCAGATGTTTCATACTACTAACATATGGACATCTTCACATGAGATGTCACTGTAGCATTTGCAAAGTTAAATTTTGAACAAAAGTCAGAGTGATAAATTCTGACAAAGTTACTAGGCTTTGAGATGAGAGACTCTCGTTTTACTGTAGAGGGTAGTTAAGTGGAGATAACAATTCTGAGGTATTGCTTCATACTGGAAGTCTAAGAGAGCAACAAGCCAGCCACAGGCTCCTGGGTTTGCAGTGTGCTCCTCCAGATGCACTAGATCTCAATGAATAATGAAATTTAAAATTGCTACTTCCAAAAAATGCTCTAAGTTGCATCTTTTCTTAAAGAAAGAAGACAGAAGTCCTCCTGCACAAGTTCTGTTATTTTGAAATATCATTTTTTTATAAAAACAGATCAAAAGTATAGTTAAGTATATTTATCTGCTCATATTAGTTCTTAATTACTCTAATCTCCTTACTCAGATAGATGCTTTATTGTGATGTGTAAGAATTCAAGGAATTCAGATGTGCTATAGGACCAGACAGAAAATACAAAAACCCCCTATTTTTAAAACAAAACACTAGAAATGCAAGGGAGTTGAAACAATGTCAGGACATTACCAATAAGGATACATGAGAAAATACTGAAGTACAAAATACTGCAGTTTATTAATGTTTCAGTGAGATTGCTTAGTATAGCTCAATGCTGTTAGTCGCCCGATATCAAAATCATTAGCAATTAAAATACAGCATATCCTAATGCTTTTAAAAAATGCAGCACATTTCCTTAATGCTTATAAAATCAAGAGCCAGAAATATGACCATTAAATAAAACCTATGACAAAATACTAATATTTTAAATGAATTAATCCAGTCATTCACTGTGTTTCTATGTTCCTGTTTACCTTGGATGCTCAAGGTACAAATGACACTTTGACAGACATCTGGCAATTTTTTTCAACATGAAGCAGTGTAATTAAAGACACACTTCCCTATTAGCAGACTACTATTTCACATAAAGCCAGGTACAGAAAGATTTCCATATTTCCTTTGGTTTGTGACAGTTTAGTGACTGTTTGGTTTCTGTGCTTCAACAGTTTTGATATCATCCTGTTAAATGACCTACAGAACTGTGGATTAGGACTTTATTTTCAGTTTATCTAAATATAAATCTGAGATGTTTAAGAAAGCTAACTATTAGGTAGCACAAATTCCATAAAACTGCTGAATATCATCACGGAGGATACATTTGCTGGACAGAATAAAAAAAGAGCGAAAGGTTTGCCATTCTTTTTTTAATATTAATGGAAAGCTGTTGCTCTGTGACTTAGACACTATGAAATGTAAATCCTGTCTCTCCTGAGCAGAAAAGACATGCTGTAGCTCTGACCCAGCTCACATAAGGCAGGGCAGTATTTATCAACAGAAGTGCCCCAAAATTTTATTTACAAACCTAATATGCTGAATGCCTGTAGTTAGTTCATGTGTATCTTTAATAAAAAACAAACAAACAAAAAAAAAGAAACCCACTGCAGACAGTGTTAGTTACAATAGCATGAAAGAAAAGGAAATTAAAGCAAGATTTACACAACTCACTTGAAGAATAAGGATCACTGAATTTCTGCTATACAACGTGTACAGTGCTATTTTTTAAAATCAAATTTATGTTAGTTTTTTTTTATAAATGTATGTGGAAAAGTACATTTTTGACACTGTTTTAACAGGAAGGACTAGATTTGACAACTACATTTTATAAAGACATAAATAAATATGGCAGATGAGGATTATCCCTGACTGGTTTGACCTGAAGAACAATCCACAATTGTGAAGAAAAGTAAGTGTACAGAGGAGGAAATTAAAGCCTAAAGATACGAGTGTCAAAAAAAACCCAATATGTTTCTGCAATAACAGGGATCAAATTCACTATCAGCATGGGAAACAGCAAAAGACTATCTTACACAGTAAAAAAGCCATCACAAATTATCTCTCTCCTTCAAAATAACAAAGCAGACAAAGACAAGCTCTTTTCAGACTTCTGTGTATATAGAATTTTAACATAAGAGATACAAATTGGTTAAAATACTGCTAAGAACAGCACGAACAAGAAACAGTACTTCACTTATCACTTACTACAAGTTTCTACAGAAAAAAATCAAACACCCAGATCTTGCTGTATTCAAATCATATACACATCTGGCAGCCCAAAAGTTACCTGTCTTGGATTTAATTTAAGCACCTTCATTACACAGTGTCCTTTACTACAAAACAGCCAAACATACATTCATGACCCTAAAACTGTTCTTATAATTAGCATATTTTAAAGCATTATGTCAGACAGGTGCACCCAAAGTTTTCTCTTTTCAAGATACGTGGTCTGCATTAGTTACAGTAAACAGTGCTTGCATTACTGTCCACACATAATGCAACAACTTGGTTTACAGGTCATTTATTTAAATGCTTGAAATTTTACAAAACACTTTAGGGGGGAAAAATTTAAAAAAAAAAAGAAAAGAAAAAGAGGAAATTTGCACTTCAGTTTCTCATTCTTGAAACATGCTACTTCTTGAGATAACTATGCTCTCACTCCTCTGCCCTGCAAAGGAACTGCTGAGCTTTATTGATTTTATCCCCATCAGCCCAAGGCCTGAATGTACATCACTGTAATCACACATCTACAGTGTGATTTCTGATGATCCTCAAGTTTTCCGCTTACAGCTGTTTAAGCCTCACAACACCCCTGTGAGGTAGGTACAGTTATATCCCCAATTTATAGAACCAAGACTTTTGTGTGTGTGGCACGATCATATGTTGTGTTCACTGACTGACCAGAGCAGCTTCTAAGCCTGCAGCCTTCAAGAAAACAGGGTTCATGTTTTTCAGGGAGCTAGATCTCTGCACTGGCATGCTCCTTCCGGCCTGGAGTGGATAAGGTTAAAGCAAAGTGCTAGGCAGATTGCTGCTCTGCCACCTCAGGCAGGTTGTCTTGGAGTGTTTGTACAGGTGACTGGACTGGCTGAACCGCTTGCCACACTTGAGGCAGGCATAAGGCTTTTCTCCTGTGTGCACACGGATGTGTTTCTTGCAGTCTGTCAAGGTCAAAAACGTCTTGCAGCAGATCTTGCATGCATACTTGCGTGCACCTTCTACAACCAAGACGTTGTGCTCCGATAAGGCCTTCTTGCATTTTGAAAGGACATCTGCAGATGCCCGTGTCAGCTGTGGCGGACCAGGTTGCGATGGATGCCCATTTTCAAAAGAAGTGGTCCCATTCATGATCAGCTGGGAACTGGATGAGTTATCTTGCATCTGGGAGCTCCTGACAGAGGTCACCACAGGCATTTTAGGGGCTATGCGTCGGTAACCAGGAAAGCTGTTAGCTCCACCCCTTACTGAGCCCATCACTGCCCTTGACAGGGAGTGCAAGCCTAAGCCCGACCGTGGAAAATCCATGCCAAACTGTTCTGCTGCACGGTACCCAGAAGTCTGTACACAGGGGAGACCCATCACATCCTGCATTGGTCTAACAAAATGAGAATCTGCAGGCTCACTAAATGGATTCTCGACATGAGAGACAGTGGCAGATGAATGGCCAACAGCAGGCCCTGACTCTGGACTCATTAGGTAAGAGGCATCACTGTCCATTCTGCAGTCACTGGTGGTATTTGGAATATTGTCATCACTGTTTTGATTGGCACTGAAGCTACCACTTCTACTTTTATTTAGAAAATTTGAGATACTGAAGGTAGACTTGTGTTCCAGGTTATTTGACACCTCCATGATATGGATGTCTCCCACCCTATCAGTAGTGGATTGTGGGTCAGAAAAGCTACGATCACTGCTCTCAGGACTCAGTTCTATCTTCTCTGCACTCACTACTCCTCCTTCCACTTCAACAGACTCGCTCCCCTCTGCTTGGGAAGTGACATCGCTCACCTCATCTTGAGGCTCCGGGGAACTCAAGGGCTCAGACTTCACCACCACCCTCATGTGCTCTTTTTCATTCATGCTGACCTCTGGATTCTCACATGGGAAGTTGTTCTTCTCAGAAGCAGCCTCCTGGTCAAAGCTGGTTTCCACTTGTGTTGCCTGGGATGCCATAGACATCTGTGAAATGTTTCCTCCGCTGTTGTCAGACTGGCTGGGCACTTGAGCATCTTCCTGAGTACTGAAAGACTGATCAAACAAAAGAGTATTATCCTCCTGGTTATCAGCAACAGCATCAGCCTTAGAGTTGTCCACAATCTTCAGTGAATCCGGTGAGAAGAAGTCTTCCCGTGAATGAACTACTGACTGCCCACTCTCTGTAGTCACATCAGAAATAGACTCATCCATGGTAGGCCTAATACGCTGCCTGGCCCGATCTTCAGAAGACTGTTTACGTTTGTGGAGACGACGGATAGGGAAAGTAGTGCGCTGTTCAATGTTACTTCTCATAGAGGAGCTCATAGTATTTGGTTGTTCCTCTGTGCTCTGAGTAGAATTTAAGGCAGAGCTCACAATGCTCAGTCCAAGCTGCTGCAGCATGAAAGACCTCTGCATGCGTGCATTTTGCTCTTGAACTCTATCACTTGGTGAAGACATCGGCAGTGTCCTGGTAGTAAGGTAGTGCTTGCATGCTTTAACAACAGAATTCAAATGTAAGTGAGAAGCTGCCAGCAAGACATCCATAACATTGCTCTCCCCAAGCATTAGTGTGGAAGTATACATCATGTCTATCAGAGCAGCAAAAGCTTCTGCTGTCACCACTTCGCTGTCCAGCTGAATCATATTCATAGTCTGATCTCCTTCTGCTACAGTAAACAGAGCTCGGAAATGTGTGCTACATGCTGCCAAAACAGAGCGATGGGCTTTGAAATGCCTGTTTCCCACCACAATGACACAGTCACAAAGCTGACCATGAAGCCTCTGGTAGTTGAGCTGCTGAAAGATTTGCTCAAAATGTCCTGGAAAATCCATGATCCTGTAAAACAGAACAGAAGAAACTATAATATTAAAAACAAGTCCTATTCAGACCACAGCCAAACTGGGCTTGACAATGCAAGACGGCAGCTGAAGCACAGATGAACAATAACTGATCTTAATTTACCACTGCCACATTGGTACTGCATCAAAGTCGGCAATCTTGCAGGGGCAGACTAGGAATAAGAATATGCAGGTTCTGCCATGGAGCTGACCTAGAATAACAGCCGCCTCAGCATCAGACATGTCACGGGCAGCTCTGCTGCAAACTGTGTAACACAGGTCATTTCACCTCCGTTAGCTCCTGTCCAAACGAAAACACACTCTTCAGTAAAACATTTGTGTTTTTTTTTTTTAAATCTGTGAATAATCTACTGCAGCCTTTGATAACCTCCTGCTGAAAAGTCTAAACTTTAATTCTCATCTCATTTAATCCAGCTTCATCTTCTGCAAATGACTTTCTGCATAGTTTCTCAGATACTGTGCAGAACTGACATTCAGGTATCTGCTTTCAACATAGAAACACAGAAAAAAAAAAGTTCAGGGAAAAGAAGGGAGACAGTTCTGCACCGGGACAAACGGTCAGCTCTTACCTCAAGCTGCCATCTCAAAGCTCTGTGCTCTCCTTTACTGAAGGCAAAGGGAAGAAAGGAAGGCAGGACAGACCAGGGACTACCAACTTCAAGACACATACTGCTGTAAGACTGTGCTGGTTAAGGGTCAGAAAGACAAGCAACGCACTGAAGACCACTGACGGATTTACACACTTACATATATGTAAGCAGGCAGCTGTGGAATTAGGAGGATCTGTGGGTTTCCAGGAGCAACTTGGTTCCTACAAGGAAAGTACCTCTGCAATGATCCCCAGCCTTGGATTATCACTATTAACATGTCAGGGGAAAGTGGAAAGGTTCTTGATCCTCTTTTATTAAGAACATATTCCTTTTAAACTCATTTGGAAGTTATTCTGCCAGCAGCATGAGATTAGGTTTCTCAGTCACGCCATCCACTGGCAGAACTGAACAAGCACAAGCTGTATACATGCTGGTTCCACCCAGCAAGGGGACAAAGCTAGCCCCTCCCCCCTTTTCTATTAGTCCCTGTCGTGGTTTAAACCCAGTCAGGTAACTCGTTCACTCACTCCCCCCCTTCTTTCCCTCCCCCTACTCCCGGAGGGATGGAGAGGAGAATCGAAAAGAATGCAACTCCCACGGGTTAAGAACAGTTTAGTAACTAAGGTATAACACAAATCACTACTGCTACCACCAATAATAACAATGGTAAAGGAAATAACAAGGGAAGAGAATACAACACCTCAGCACCAGCCAACCGATAACTCACCCCCCCAGCCCGACCAAGCACCCACAGATACCTCCTCCAACCCTGCAGACTCCCAGCCCTTCTGGGTAACTCCCAGTTACATCCTGGGCATGACGTGCTGTGGTATGGAATACCTCTTTGGTCAGTTTGGGTCAGGTGTCCTGTCTCTGCTTCCTCCCGGCTTCCCCTCCTCCCTGGCAGAGCATGAGGCTCACAAAGTCCCTGACCAAACCAAAACATCCTTGTTATCAGCTCTGTTCCTGAGCTGAGAGTCAAAACACTGCACTGCACCAGCTACCAAAGAAGGAGAAAAATGACTGCTACTGCTGAACCCAGGACAGTCCCACAGCTATAAACCATGCTGGACTTAAATACTGGTATCCTCAGTCAAAACTTGCCAGTGTCTCCAATAGCTACAGAAGGAGTGGGCAGAGAACCATGCCCTGTAACACTTTTTGTCCTTAAATAACAAAGTTTTGTGTTGCCAGGACAGGTGGCTACAGACAGCTGTCCTGCAGTAAAGACTTACAGATACTCTCTGTTTTTAAGCCTGTCTTGAGGCTACTATAGACAGTGTGTGGTGAACAGCTGCCATTTTCTGATTCCCAGGCTTATGAAATGCCTTAGGGGCAACCTGGACAAACAAAGGGACTTGCTCAAGTTTGTGGCATTTGTGGCTTTTGCGGTACTTGACTAACATCAGGTGATATAAAATTAATGGAATTGGTAGTACAGTAGGTGAAGAGATCTGAATTCGTGCCAGAAGAGGTGGCAAACTAACGTAAACCACAAAGACTAAAACCATTAGGTCACAAAACATGTCACAGAATGGCCCCAGACTGTCTCAACTGTCAGGCTGTAGCTAGTGCAAAGTAGCTACTGTTCTCTAGCTGAGAGGCAGCCAGCATTCACCCACCTCCTCCATCTGTAATGGGACACAACATATGTTTTGCAGGTCTTTGCTGGAAAAGGATTTCAAGACATAGTCCACTGGACAAAGAACCTTTGCCCTCTCCAACAGATACAGGCTCACAAAGAACTTCAGTTTTACCTAAACACTGAAAAGCTGGAATTTCTGCTGGCAAGTTATCTGCTGCCTTCAACTGTAATTGTTTCCTGAATATTTTAGAAAGAATAAATAAATAAATTACACTTTATGTCTTCCAGCAATGGAGAGGGTCCAGGCTTACTAGTGGCATCAAAAATCCACTAACTTGGCAGCACTAAGGCTATGATGCCTGAAATAACATCATAATGAGATTTAATTAAGTACTGTGGCACAGTACTCCCTTATCACTATCAAGCTGTGTAATAAACCAGAAGAATTTGGGTTTGACACTTTATTTTTTAAATAACAGGAATGCAGACAATACCCGAGTTTATTTCTTTTTAACTGCCAATGCATATTTGACAGCAAAAATAACATTTTCAAAATAAAAAACATTAAACAAACGTTGTAATTGCAGTTTTTATTTCTACATTTCCTCTGAGAGAAGTGTAAGACAACGGAAAGGGAGGAAATACTTCTTGGTGCCTTCCTGGAAGAAGGAGGAACGAAAGAGCAGACCCTGAAACTCACTGATCTCCAGCAGCCAGACAAAAGGAAGACTGGGGAGCCTGCTGTGACAAGAGACACAAGTCCTGGCAAGAAATGTCTGGAATGTGGCAGAGGCCAGGACTGCTTCGAGTACTGCTTCGAACACTGCTGTCTGCCTCTGCTGCCCAGCGCACCTGGTTAAACTTACGCCCTCCTTTGTTCCAGCAAGCACCATGCACAGACAATTGTCTCTGTCAAGAAAGGTCCCCTCCAGCCAGCCATCTCTGCAAAGTTGAGAGGTGACTGCCAAATAATTGTTCGTTTATCTTCTTTTGCTCACCTCTGAGATGGGCCAGATGTTATACCGTCTGTTCTTGATTTTGTGGGACTAAAAGATCTAGGGGAGAATTTTGAGAGGAGATGGGAGAGGCTGGTGGGTGCAACAGTTGCCAGAGTAACAAGGAAACGCTCCTTTTAGAGTACCATCACTAAGCATCAGTGTGCTGTTGCGGGCCTAGATGCTGGGTGACCTTTTTTTTCACCTTGCTCCCCAGTCAAGACTGACAGCTCCAAGAAACAGTTGTGTGGTTCATCTACACAGTGTACAATGCTACAGCCCACTTGGCAGATGCCCTGGAAAACACCAGACACACACCACACCAGGAGAGGCAAGGGATCTCCTTTCCTTCGGGACTAGAACTGGAGGGCACTGTAGTTTTAACTATAGTGACTTTCCAAAATGCAGCAGTGCTGAACCATTAGCACCACCACCTACAGGGGCAGCTAAGACAGGAGCACTTTGCTGTGCATTATCTGCAACCAAGAATGAAACATTCCACTTGTACCTTCACTACAGAAAGCACAGGCCCAGTAGAGACTGCTCCAGCTTCAACGGTCATTAGAAGCAAGCTGCTCACAAGCACTCAAGCAGTTCCCAGTCTGTGTACTGCTTTATGCCATTTTAGGAAACTCTGTAGAAGACAAAATACTTGAGAGCTCATACATTGCCCTTATCAAGCCAATCCCAGGGGCTGGCATTCTTCAGAAGGCTGTATAATAATGCATTCCAACCAATGCACAGAGAAGGCTGGGGGTGTAAAACACCAAGCAACATGAGGACAGGATTTCACATCAGTAAAAACACTGAGAGGGACTCCAGAAAGGAACACAGGCTACAGGGATGGTCTAAGGTATTTCTGCCCAGGCAGGAATATATATCTGAACCAGAGAAAACAGTCAGAACTTGTTTTGACCAATGATTTGGGATTTCAGAGTTCACAGAGTCCTTCCCTAGAGTCACCAAAAGTGACTGCGTCCTTCATCTGAAATAATACTAACCCAGTTTTGCTTCAATTAACATTAATTTGGCTTGGTATTTAACTTCTACTACCCCATAAAGGCTGAAGTCCTTGAATCAGAATCAACAAACAGACCCCACAAATGAAGAACTTGAGATCTTGTACAAGATCAACTGAAAATTATAAACCAGATTTGATTTGTATATATCGTATACTATCCACATACCACATTTGGTTAGATATCAGCTACTCCAGCTTACTAAATACATGCAAAGCATTTATGTCATTATCAAAATACGTATGAGTGGCATACCTCAGGACACACCCATTCTGTCTGCCTTCCTCTCCTGTTCCACTGATACCTCACCCTTCAGCAACAGCTGGCTGTAAAAACACCGCTGAAACACTGATAGGCTGCACATCTCATCATTCTCCTGTCTAGTGACCCTACATCTCCAGCACACAGTGGGTGGTATCCCATAACATGGTGTGCAAATGCCTACTCAGATGAAGGATAGAGATGTTCCCAGCTGAGTAGTGAGTGGTTTCAGCAGTCAGTCTTTGCAGCCTTCAGGAGGCTCACAGCCAGCTCCAGTTCATATCCTGGGGACACAGGGAAAGTCAGATGAAACATTCTGATGAATCAGATCCAGTCTGTCGGACTCAGGGGAAGCATCAGTGGTGCAAACAGCACACACTGAGTCCAGCAGCCTTTTGAAGAGGAAAGGGAATAGCAACTGAAAAAATGACCGCAATTGAAAAGAAACTATACCAAATTGTTTGGTATAATATTGTTTTAGTAAAACTATAATTTGTTTAGTAAAACTATACAAATATCCTATACTTGTTTAGCAAATACTATAATTGTTCAGTAAATCTATACAAATAGTATTACCAATAAGTAAAAATAGTCAGAGCCATAAAAATTTTAAGAACAAGCCATGAAAAAACATCTAGCAACCTAGTCTAGTGGAAGGCATCCTGGTCTGTCAGGTGAGGCTGGAACTAGATGGTCTTTAAGGTCTCTTCCAACCCAAACCACTCTATGATTCTATGACATCCTGACCGCAATACAAACATTCTGCCTGTCCCTGGGCTAAGGTCTATGAGCTGAAACCACCAGGGTGTCCTGGGTTCAGCAGTAGCAGTCATTTTTCTCCTTCTTGGTAGCTGCTGCAGTGCAGTGTTTTGACTTTCAGCCTTGGAACAGAGCTGACAGCTATGTTTTGGTTTGGCCAAGGACTTTGTGAGCCTCATGCTCTGCCAGGGAGGAGGGGAAGCCGGGAGGAAGCAGAGACAGGACACCTGACCCAAGCTAGCCAAAGAGGTATTACATACCACAGCACATCATGCCCAGGATGTAACTGGGAGTTACCCAGAAGGACACGGGCTTCCGCGTGGGACTCTTCTTGGCCGGTGGTATCGTATTCTCTTCCCTTGTTATTTTCTCCTATTCTTGTCGTTGGTGGTAGCGGTGGTGATTTGTGTTGTACATTGGTTGCTGGACTGTTCTTGTCTCAACCTGTGGGAGTTGCACTCTTTTGATCCTCCTCCCCGTTCCTCTGGGAGCAGGGAAGGGGAGAGCCCCGGGGGTAGGAAGGGGGGGGCCTCGATTTCTCCCAGCCTGGCACCACTCACTGGGAGTGAGTGAACAAGCTGTCTGGCTAGGGTTTAAACCATGACACAGGGTAAGAACCAAAGAAAATCTCCTTCACATAATGCAGTTAAGCTACAGAACTCCTCACCATGGGCAAGTACATGTGAATTCAATAGCAATTATGTAGATGCATTGAAGAATAACCAAATGAGAGCTATTAAATATTCAGATGTCACCTCTACCTAGGGAAGTCACTAAACCCCAAGTCACTGGAGGTACAGGTTTATATACACTTACCTTTCTAGCTTTGTATTTTACAGCTTGATTTGTTATTTCTGAAGAGTTTTAGGAGAGAACTAAGTTTTTTTTTAAATGTAAGAATAATTTGGTAAAAATAAGGACACATCTTCTATGTAGCATTTTGATTATGCACTTAAAAAGGTAATTAGTCCTTGAATAAAAAAATATGCTCAGGATATATTTAAATACTTGCCTCTTCACTGCTAGAGGAAAATATACCAACAGCCCACGAGAGGTGAGACTGCTGCTATTGCTAAATGTCCACAGATTGCAGCAGGAAAGTCGGAGATGATGGATTCCCAGCAGGCACAAATTCATGGAACATATGAATACACGAGAGACACTCAGCACTCACACAAACACAGGTAGCAGCAAAGGCCTCATCTTGCTGTCCTCTCTGGCTGGAGGACACATGCAGGCAAGACTCCTCCAGCAGCTGGCCCTCCCAGTAGCTGTCCTGTGGGTCCCAGTCTCCCCATTCCCAGTCTGCATGCATACAAATCCCTAGGCCACAGCCTGTCTCCAGTTGCCAGTAGACTCTCACAGGTACACAGAAACAATCTTGCAGCTGTTGTCACACCCAGAGCTGCCCTTACAGACCCTGTAATGGATGGGAACCTAACTGAGAGCGATTCCCTCTCATGATCATGAGAAGCACTAATGAGGCAGGTTTTTACAAAGTGTATTTGAGAAAGTATATATCTTTTTATCCATTATGACTATCTGTTGGAAAGAGGCAGGAAAACATGCATGCAGCTGTTGTATGACCATCACATTTGGCCATGCCAGAGTGCCTGGCCAATGCTCTTGGTGTGGCCAACAGCGAGAAAGTGAGAAACTGCACGGCCTCACGAGTAAAAAATTATAGATTATAGCCAGCTGTGTTTCTGAGAAAAAAAGCAGGCCTCTGAAGCCTCAGAGGCAACCTCACCTATAGATGTGTGCGAGTTTTCCCAGTTACCTGAGACTCACAGCATCACCTGCAATGGGGCTTCCCAGCTTGAAGTGTGCGCATAGATGATGATTTGGTGGTAACTGGCAATGTATTTCTTCTTAATCTCTCTTCTCTCTATGCAGTAATGATTTGACGCATTGTTAATTTTCCTCTGTGCTATACATACATATATCTCTGAATCGCTGTATTGTGCTTGTTTACTATATACATATATACCTGATTCACATTAGTGTGCTTATTGAATAAACTGGGCATGTTATACGGCTACCATGTGATTGTTTTGAGTACCCTGCCTGTTTGCAAAGCAGACCCACAAATCCCCCTGCTCCCAGGCCACTTCACCTGCTCATCCAGTTTGATCTCTGCTGGCTATTAGACACTCACATGCCCACACTGGCTTCAGTCAATGCCCCACGGACATGGTGACCCTCTGCCCTGTAGCTGCATTCATAGTAACCACAGATCCCTCACACAGGAGAGACAGGAAGGAATTCAGTGAGGAGCAGGATAGATGGCACTGATAACATGCAGGGCATGGTCAGGCAAGCTTACTGACCAGCCAAATGCCTACACATGATTAGCTCTTCTCATCCCCTCTGTATTTCCACACTTGTTTCTCCTCAAATCTCCTAAACTATACCCTTGCCCCACTTTTGGTTTCTCATGTAAACATCCCATAGTAAGTCCCGTGAGACTTTCGGTTTTCCCTGCAGCCCCTGTATCTCTGCAGTGGGCAGCAACCTCTTTAGTATGACGGGACACTGGGCAGATGCTCTGCTGGACTGCCCTAGCAGGGGCCTGGATAGGGTGCTCCTTTCTTGGGGTTCTTGATTTAGGTTCCTACTGTGCCCCTATGGTCCTCTGGGCCTGTGGAGATGGGCTTGTGATGGGCTAGCTTCAGGGATGGCCTTGGGAGCAGCTCTGCAGGGTAGCGTTTAGGCTCCCCCTCCCACTACTGTCTTTCCAAGCTCCCCTAGGGCTGTGCAGAGGAGCTTTGATCATGTTCCTGGACATTCATGGTGTCATATAGTATAATATTTCTCATATATGTGGTATCTGTGGATGAATATATGGCCTAAATTTCTTAAACTAAGCTTTCCATATTAAGAAAGCATCAGGACTAAAAATACCTAATTGGGAAGATGATATGCAAGTGTTCTGAAATTCTAGGGAAAAATACCTACAGTTTACAGTTACACAGCCTGTTTAGTCATTTCTTATTAGCTATTAATCTCAGAGTCTGTCAACTCCAACCAAATTAAACAAAGATGAGATTACATACTGAATTCCCATATTTTCTGTTGGTGCCTGGTTACAGAAGCAGCCAGATTTGTAAGGATGACTTTTCATATTCTCTTAAACACCACAAAACACTCAAACCCAGCCAGCTGACCAGTTTGAACACACAGCTATCAATAAAGCACTCATGCAGCCACCTGCCCAGCCAGGAAACACAAGGGACAGCTGGTAACGCAAACACGTAGCAGGACAAGGGACACTAGATCTTTCCATAGGAAATCAGATTTTATTAGCACATATTTCTACTTCTTCTAATGGTAATAATTTCTTCATATGGGAAAAGGCAAGTATTTAAGTACACCTGAACTGAAACTGCTGCAGAATCCAAACCTTTTCTTTCACTTCTTAAAAAAAAAAAAAAAAAGGCTAACTCACTATAAAATAGTGTAAAAATAACTCCAAATAATGATCTAGTTACAGTTTTATTACTATGTCCCATACTACAGGACACAGTTTAGATTACACTATAATCCTGAGCCACTGTTAAGAAGTCAAACACACGCAGTCAAACATATAAAAAACTTAAATGCAACCTCAAGTTTCCCCTAAAGTTTGCAAACTTTTTCTAAAAGTTTGCAAAGTAATTGATTTTGTGTTACTAAACCAACAAAAGCTGCCTCAACTATATGATTCATTAGAATGGTATCAGAAGAAATCTCACATACAAATACACTAATGAAAACTTCAGACTAGGCACTTGGTTTTTCTTTATCAGGTAAGTGAAGGACAAGTTATTACTTGCATCTCAAACCCCATTCCCAACAATCTGTGTTTAAATGCAGTCAGTATTCTAGGTACCAAGCTTGCAGGAATTCCTGACATATAGCCAGAACTTGAGAGCATGCCAACATAACTGCTTTCCCCTTAGCTTAAATGACATTTTACAAAACATTACAATGCACCTGTACTGTGCTTAAGCAACATGCTTAAAAAAATACACCTCATATAAAGCTCCCCTGAAGCCTGAACTACACATATAAATCTAGATAGGAGTCAGTGATACATGTGTTATTTTAGAAAATGCTTTCTACTATCAATTAGGTTTTTAACTACCAGTTGGGTTTTTAACAAGTCAGCAGGGCAGTGGGAGCACAGAGGCAAGAAGAAATTGAAGTCTTCACTTTGACATCTTCTGCAAGTTTGGTCACTTTGAAACATGGATGATATGCATTTTGTGCTCTGAGAGCGTTTTCAATCCGAACATATGATGAAATTTTAGTTAACAGTCGTTAAAACAGTTTCTGTATCTGTGCCACATAACTACAGCAGACTCCAGTGTTACATCACTTTCATGTATGTGACAATATAGTTAGTGCCGAACATGAAAGGCATTTTGTGTGTGTCTGACAAGCATCTCTAACTACCGACTTTCACGACTGACAGTTAAGCTTACCGCATCTCATTTGAGGTGCTTCCTTAGCCAAGTTTTATATATAGTTCTACTCACACAGTTTATCTCCCTATTTATTGTCAAAGAGGATGAGTTAAAACTTGTCTAAGAATCAGAAAGGATAAACTGCACTGCAAAAGCTGCTGCTGGTTACATCAGCCCTCCAGTGAAGAGATTAAAATATGGTTTAGTATTTTCTCATCATCTGAAAGGTACTGCAGATAGATAGTCTATCTCATGGCAACACCAAGTCATTAACAAACAGTAACAGCACAGCTTGCCAGGAGCAAAAAACATCTCTGAAAGAAGCAACAAAACGCTTCCTAAAAATGGCTAAATTTTTCCTAGACACTGAAGAGATGCTACCTGTGACACAGCCATCTTTCTGTTTTCTGATATTTCTACTCACTTCCTCCCAACCCTCTGATGCATCTCTTGGGTCTCCAAATCCTGCAGTGTAGCTGACAGTTCAGAGGAAGACACACAGGAGACTGAAACATGACACACATTTTGATGCACCATTTCAGCTTGTCACCAGGGGGGTTGTTTTCTTGTTGTAATTCCACTATTTAACACACCTACATTGCTACATATGCTTAACTCACAGAATACTGTCCCCTTGTAATTCTTGGCTAACCACTGATTGAGCTTCAAGGTCAGTACCATGGCTTTCACAGACATCAGCCTCTCTCAAGAGTTCACATATGCTTTTCTGGTCAACTTACAACGGCACAGTGTTTCCTAGGTATCAATAAGAAACAGATGATGATAATGGATTCTATTCTTGATCTTGGGAAGCTAAAAAACCTGCATCTAGATATAAGAAAATGGTTGCTCCCCAGAACATAAAAAGTTTTATAGGCACTGCACAAAGAAACACCTGAAGACAGGTGTTTGGGCACTACTACTATTTGACTTATTTTGAAAGGGAAAAGCAGAGAAGGCTGCTACACAGAACTGGCAGTAAAGCCATTTAAGGGCATGGGAAGATAAGCTGCCATCAACAAGGATTGATTTGAACTCAGTTATATTATCAGTTCAAAAAAACTCGAGATTCATGGTACCACGGCAGTCTCCGTCACTGCCATAGTTCTCTCGCAACAATGTCCAGTGCTGCGAAGCAAACTTAGTTGCCAGCTTCTCCTGCCTACCTTCACCCCAGTTTATTAACCAAACAAGAAACACCATGCAGAAGCAAAGGTCTTCAGGCACAGGTCCCAAAGGCAGCTCAGCACCAGTATGATGTCTTCTTGCTTAATATGGCAATAATTTCTAAATCTAGCTCTTCACTATTTACCAGAGATTCAAGAATTTTAAACAACCCTGCTCAACAGCCTTCCTTGCTGATTCCTTTGCCTAAGCTTTTAACACCAGTGAAACTGAAAGTTAACTGAATACACATGCACTTTTGCCAGAAAACGGTTTAGATTGAAGTAAGAAATATTAGTCTGACACCACCACAATGGATTCATTAGTATTATACAGCTTTAGCCAATCAAATACCTACATCCACATAACCAATTCAACCGATGACTGCTATATTTCAAATGAGAACTGTTGAGTTGTCTGCTCCTGATCTTCCCAAACTCATTTCCAAAATTCATCTTCTAACATTGTCTTTTTATCCTCATGGATGCACTGCACAGTTCTGTCTATTTTGGCATTGTGAGGGGTTTATAAGACCCCCACCTAGCTGTTCTCTGACTCCCCCTCCTTAGCAAGATGCAGGAGAAAGATGGAAAGCCTTGGGGGTTGAGATAAGGACAGGGAGATCATTCACCAATTACCATCTGAAACACTCAACTTGGGGAAGATTAATTTAATTTATTGCCCATAAGTAAGAGTAGGATAGAAAGAAAGAAAACCAAAACCATATTCCCCCCACCCTTCTTCCCAGGCTCAACTTCACTCCCAATTCTTCTACCTGTTCCCCTCAAGCAGCATAGGGGAAAACACAGTGGGGATGGTGGTGAGTTCACAATGCTTCATCTCTGCTGCTCCTTCCTCCTCACACTCTTTCATTGCTCCAGCGTGGGTCTCTCCCACAAGGTGCAGTCCTTCAAGAGCATATGGATCCAGTGCAGGCCCCCCATGGTCCACAGGTCCTGCCAGCAAACCTGCTTCAGCATGGGCTTCTGTCTCCTTGGGGCTGCAGGTCCAGTCAGGAGCCAGGTCCAGTCAGGAGCCTGCTCCAGGGCAGGCTCTCCATAGGCTGCAGCTTCCCTCAAGGCACTCCATCTGCTCCACTGTGGAGCTTGATTATTTTCAGGTGGACAATATCCCTAACCATGGCCTTTACCACCAGCTGCAGGGAATCTCTGCCCTGGCATCTGGAGCACCTCCTCCCTCTCCGTCTTCACTCACCGTGGTGGCTGCAGGGCTGTTTTTCTCACTTCTGTCTCACAGCTGCTGCTGCCCAGTGTTTTCCAGCCTTTCTCAAATATGTTATTTGGCCAGCAGCAGGTCCATCTTGGAGCTGGCTGGAACAGGCTTTGTCCTGTATGGAATAGCTTCTGTTGTCTTCTCACAGAATAAACTCCTGCAGCCTCTCAGCTACTAAAACCTTGCTACAAACCCCAAAAGAGGCATGTACTAATGAAGAATTTGGAAGAACACATTGCCCTAATCACGATTTGAAAGTCACAATACAGGGTTACAACTTACACGGTCTGAATGCATTATGCCGAATTAACTAAATTCCTTCTTAATAATTTTTGAAAGGCACAGGAAGCAGCTTTTGTTGGTCCAGAGTTGGTAACTTCCTTCTCTGTTCTGGCACAGGACTACCTTTTCTTTATAACATATGGGTTTACAGCAGAACCTAACATAGTTACCAGCTTGAACACTGCAGAGTTTGTCTTTGTTAGCACAACCATGAGGAAAACTGGCATCTACAGGTGTAAGTGCCACAGAGATAACACATTCCAGAGAAGCAACTGGTGTGCACACAACTTTTGTACACCAGTAGTATGCATAACACCTCTCCACTAGTACGCTGTCCTCCACAAGACGGGATATGGTTCAATTATCAAACATCACTGCAGGTATCGCACAAACATCACTGCAGACTCAGCAAAAAAGGCCACCCAGAAATTCCTTCTCAAACGCAGCATCTCGGCTCAGCGTAACCGCTGCGTATGTAGTGAGAAGGTCGAAGCCAAATGCATTTCAAGAAGACCCGAGGCAGAGGCCAAGCACAAGCTCTATTCCACCGGACTCTGGCTGAAGGAGCGCCCGACCACTGCAGGCGCCCTGCATTCGCCGGTGTGACCCTGCAGACACCAGCCCGTGACTGAACTGGCCCACAGACCTGAACAGCACATGGAAATCCAGTGAAGGGAACTGCGGCTCCGAGCGAAGCGAAGCCAGCACCAGCCCGTGGGGCCCGCCTGCTACCCTGGGGGTTCCTCTCAACAACAGAATCGCGTTCCCTGCCATCAGCTGAGCATATACCGGTACTGCCACCCGCAGCTGCCCATTCCGCAACACCGGCGGCGTTATGACCTCTTGCGCTCTTCCCCGGGGTGGCTCCGGCGGCTGCTCTGTTCCGCCAACAGCGCACCACCCTCCCAGGCACCTCGGTCTACAGAGTGCTCCCAGCTGGCCTAGGAGTTCTGCCCGGGGTGGGAACCGGAGACGGGGAAGGGGCGGCCTCTTGTAGCAGGAGCGCTCGCCGGCCGCCCGCGTCACCCGCACCTCCCCCGATGCCTGCCGCCGGCACTACCCGCCGGACCCGCCGCCGCTCACCTGCGGTCCCCGCCCCCCCGCTGCCTCTGCTCTCCGGTCGGGAAGGGCCGCGGCGGGGCGCCCTGGGAGGCAGGAAGGACAGGGCGAGGCTGCTGCTGCTGTCAGCGCCGTCGTCGTCCCTGCTGCCCTGTGCCCCACTCTCGCGGCTCCGCCCTCACGGGACCTCCGCTGCAGCGCCGTCGGACGGAAGTGACGCCATCGTGCAGCAACCCGCTCGGCGGGCGGGGGCAGGCCGGCCTTCCCGGCCTTCCCGGCCATCAACCAATCAGAGCCCTCGTTACTGATAGGCAACGGCGCCGCCGTCTTCTTCCCTACTCCCCACCGGATACGACAATAAGCACAGCCGTGATTGAGTGAGTCCCGCTTCCCCGAGAGCCAGCGGCAGTCCTCGCGTTTTGCCGCCATGGCCGGCGCCACCGCTACTTGGCGCTACCGCGGACACCCCGGCTCGGAACAGCCGGCGGTGCTGGGTGAGGCAGGAGCCAAGATGGGGCGGACGGGAGCGGGATCGGGGTTGCGGGATCGGGGTTGTGGGGCAGGGCAGTGCCAGGCCAGGCCACCCTGGCTTACGGCCTCTCTTCGCCGCCCTGCAGTGCAGTTCTCCAACGGCAGGCTGCAGCGGACCGGCTCCATGCGGTTCATCGTCTACCGAAACAGGGACACGGCACACCCCCGGAAGAAGCACCGGAGGATTTTGGTAAGGGCTCGCCTGAAGATCACACTCTGTAGCCGGGCCTCGTGTGGGCAGCAGTGTGGGCTCCTGTGAGGGTGGCCGCGGAAGCCTGGAGCTGCGGCCGCCCCGAAATGGTACCGTTCGTGGTACGTACCGTGCAGCTGGTACCGTCTACCCGCCCTTATGTAGCCGTGTAACGAGGGCTGCACTGCTGCACTTTAGACTTGGAGAGTCATGCCGGGAGGCGGTAGCACCTGTTGGAGGTACAGAAGCACAGACTCTTCTCCCAAAGAACAAGGGATAGGGCAACAGGGAGCAGCATCAAGCTGTACCATGGGAGGTTTAGACTGGAGATTAGGAACAATTCCTTTTCCAAAGGGTGGTGAGGCATTGGAACAGGCTGCCCAGGGCAGTGGAGTCACCAAACCGCCTAGACAAGGCCCTTAGTGACATGATTTAGTGGTGGCGTTGGCAGTGTTGAGGACATTTTGACTTGATCTTAAAGGTCTTTTCCAACTTGTTTGATTGTCACTCTGTGAAGTTCTGGTTCTTATGTGGGCTGCTGCCATAATGCAGTTGGGCGTGATAGGGGTGTGGCAGAACAGGGAAGTCCTTGGCACGGATGGGAAGAACCCTTCCCTTACTCTGCAGAATGCTCTATGCTGGTGAGCCACGCTCCCGGCATTTCTGCAGAGACCCACAAGGAGTCCTTGGACCCTGGAGAAGTGGGTGCAGGTTCTGCAGGGCCACTATGGTTTCTGTGGAGCACGTCATGATCACCCTCTTGGCATTGTGAGTTAACTCTTGGAACAGAAAGGAATCTGAAAAATTGCAATATGGAATGTTTGTGATTAAGGATATCGAGACAGATGTGTGAGTAAATTTCCATCAGAGCTGAGTATGTGCTTATTTGACAAAAATTTGATGTATACATGGTATTCTTAGGCAAAGGCTGAGGCACTGAAGTTGCGTGTGTTCATGATTTATTTTAATAACCTAGAGGGAAAAAATGTTTGAAAATGAAAAGCTGTTACTTAACAACTAGTCATGTCCATTTGGTCACAAAATCTGCTGTGTTATGTTTATGCAGTGAACACAGTGGATTCTTTATCAAATTTTTTTGTTGTTGTTTTTGTTAAGTTACATTATAAGGGAATTTATATCTTTTCACTGAAGAGGGAGCCAAGATTAAAGTCAGAAGTTGCTTTGTTCTGCTATTGGTAAGTTTTGCAGCTGCCTACATGCATGATTCAACGAATAAATGGCTTTTCAGCCATTTATTTTTCAGCCAGTTATGAGTAATTCCAATTACTCAGGGGAAACACACTGTAGTATAGTACAAACACAAATATTTTGAAATGCATTTAGGTGGTTGAGGTGTTTGTAGTAGTGCTGGCTCTTTTTTATAGTCAGTGAATTGTAGTCCCTTGGCAGTACTAGACCTTTAGGTAGATCATTGAAAATTATATTACACACATAGACTCTACGTTTAAATTACTATTCACATGATTTCTTTGCAGCGGTTCCTCATCTTCTGGCTAAAGTGAAAGCTGAGGTAGAATTATATATCATTGGTGGTCTCAGCTTCAAGAAATCTTGTCTGTTAAAGATTTTGACCTGATGCTCAGTGTACCCAGGGTGGGCTAGTGTCTGATGCCTAGGAATGTAGAGCTGTGTGGCACCAGGGAAAATGAAATGCAGAGAAGGTTATTCACAGTCCCGTACTCAAGTAATTTTCCTTTGTTTTTCAGGTCTCAGAAACTGAAAGGCTTTCATATGTGGGGAATAACTTTGGCAGCGGAGCTATGAAATGTAATTCCCTATGCAGGTATGGATTGCTAGCAAAATGGGGGCATGAACTTGGAGGCAGAAGCAGAGGTGTTGCTCATACACAAAGTTCCTGGTAGCCTTTTTTAAATGTGGCTCAGAAGTTCCCATGGAGGCTGTGATTTGATTTGTTGGAAGACTCCAGTATCTGGCAGCTGCATAGTTTGTGTACTTTACATCCCTTTGGAAGTTGTGATGTTTCATATGGTGTGTGTTTGAAAAGGTCTTCAGAAGGAAAAGCTGAGGAGATGATTTGATGTAGTTGAGATGTAGGAATAATAGCTTTGCTATTAAGAAGCTATAAAACTAACGTTAAGAAATTGCCAAGATCATCTGCTGCTGCCCAGGAACCTTCTGGGTCATTAATCACCATTTAACTTCAGGGCCACAGTACGGGGTTGCTATGTGAAATAACAAGCTGCCACACTGTAAAAAGAACATTGGTGAAATCACCAGCCTTTACATGTCCTGGTGTAACAATATGACCTTTGTGGCAGTGGGGCAGATCCTACTGGTCTCCTCTAAGTATCTTGTATGTGAAATCTTTCTCAGTCTCTAACAGACCCATCACCAAAAGGGTAGAGAGCCAGTGTGAAATAATCTTGCCTTGTTATACCCAAAGGTGTTTATTTTCTCCTTTGATGCATATTATTGCTCCTTCTAGCCTACACAAGACTGAAATGCATTTAATGTGCATGTCAGGATCTTGGTACCAAATGCTTTGCTCTGTAGATCCACTCCACTTGACCCACGTGGTTTGCTTGCATTGGTCATCTCTCCTGTAGTTGGACTGTACTGATGTGATTTGTATCTGACTAGTTAAAATGCAGGTGAAGGAGTAAAAAGCAGAGCTGTGTACAATTTTTATGGAGAGGAGGTGTTTTCAGATGTTGGCAGCCTGATGGTCCAGTGTTCTGAGTAAGACCAACCTTTGGAAGCATTTCTTTACAGAGGTGGTGTTCAGACTCTGGGACGGGCTTACAAGGGGGTTGGTTGATGCCCCAAGCCTGTCAGTGTTTGAAAGGTATTTGGGCAATGCCCGTAATAACATGCTTTAACTTTTGGTCAGCCCTGAGTTGGTCAGGCAGTTGCACTAAATGATCACTATAGGCTTTTTCCAGCTGAAACTATTCTGTAAAAGGAACAGGCTTCACCTCTGCAAATGGTCTGTCAAAATAATACTAATACTACTCTTTGTTCTTTTCTCTGGGAAGTGAAACACAGAGAACTGCACCTTCAGATGTAATAGTCTTCAGTTTAAGATACTATAGCTGCAAAAAGGCATCAAGGAGCTTTTTGTTTTTGAGTTTGAATGATAAATTTAATTTTCTGAGTATGTATGATACAGATATCAATGCAGTATTATTTCTAGGCATATTTAGCAGTCTTATCTCTGGGCACTGATTAAGAGATGGTTTTAATGGCTTAAGTTGTTCTTACCTGCACCTCTGAAGATCCTGAGCTATGGACACTAACAAGCCAAGCTGACTGCTGATAGTATGTTCAACTTCAGGTATTAGTTTTGCATTATGTGTGCACATGCCTCAGGATCCACAGAGATGCAGACAAGAATCAATTAAGTAATTTCTTGCTTTTCTTTTAAGTTTTCCCACACCATCCTTCTGTCCCTTTTCTCCCTCATCTGCTTCAGCTGCATGTATGAGGATTTCCTCCAGTGGATCCATTCCTATAGTTCTTAGCAGCTGTTAGCCTAAAAATGTGCATTCACAACTGCTCAAGTAAGTGTAACAGGGAGCAGAAACTAGCTCTGATCAAACCACTCTTTATTCTGTGTGGAAAGTCTTTATTCTTGAGTTGAGTCCATCCAACCTCTTGGCTTCCTGGGACAGCAGGAACTGCCCAAAAATCTTTTCTGGCCAGGAGGTGCTGAGGTTCCCACTGTATGTGGGCAGCTCCTCTGAGGCCATAGAGTGTTGCTGTCACTGCAGTAGGCAGCCTGTTGTGCAAGTGGTTTTTTGCTTCAGGAAACGTGTTTTGACTTCTAGGAAAATGTGTTATGGGCTGGAAGAAGTTCAGGTACCAGTCAGAAGGGGTCATATGGAATAAACTCTTCTGGCTGGATAAGAAGCTGGTGCAGATGATAACTTGATCCATGTTAGCCAAGGGTGACATAACAGCCTGTTCTTTTTGGTGGGTCATGAGACATAGTGAGGAGCTGTATAAACCATTTGGGCTTGCCCCTTTGAGATGTGGGATGAGAAGGAAGTTACCTGAGAGAAATTATCGTATTTCAGAAATGGCAAAGTCACATTTCCAAGGAGCTCTGAGGACTTAAAAGTGACTTGTACTAAGCAGAGAACTGGCCACAAGGAACCAAAGCTTATAAACACAGCCAACTGCATAGAAGCACTATACATAACATATATGTAACATAGAAGAGAAACCAAAGGTTCTGGCACATCAAAAAAGGCAAAAGACAATTTAGCATTCTGGAGCTAATTTAATTGTCATAAAATTTCTACGTTTACTTAGGGCAACAAGTCTTTATATTTTTATATATGTGCATGCATGCAGTAACTCGTTTTACTGTGACATCCTAAATGCGCTTGGAAAACTTGTATTTGCA